GGGCTGTGTCAAGCTTCCCTATCCCCATCTTGTAAAGGACAAAGGGCACTTTCTACACACACTCACACGGGGGAGTTGAGGGGAGTGCTGAGTCTGTGAGGACAAAGGAGCGAGGATGAGGGTGAAGGGTTTGTCAGTTAATCATTCTACATGTCCCTGGGCCTTAGCCAGACAGAAAGTATACACTGCCTAAGGCTGGGACCTTGGCTGAGGAAAATGGAGCTGGAAAGACATCTGGCTGGCAGAAGGGAGAGGCTTTCTGCAAACATTCGTCATATCATCTGGAATCTGGGGGTTTGCTGGACTCTGGAGAGGTCAGGGACAAGAGTGGGTAGCCAATGCCATGGGTATCATACAGAGTTTCCTGAACTGATCATTGAAGAAGAAACTCAGGAGGAAGAGGGCTGTGATAAAACCTGCAGGAAGAGCTCTGGAGAGAGAAAAGGGAAATCTTTGGGGTAGAAGACAACTAGGGGAGATTATTAAAATGGAAGAGATCTAGCAAGACTTGGAAGATGTGTGAGAAGAGCCAATAGGGTAAGAGAAAATGTAGCTTACTATTCAGCACTTTCTCTGGCAAGCAGGGGGCCAGCTGCTTTCCACGTGCTCTTGTGGTTCAGTCTAGTAAGGTACTATTATCACTGCTTACCAGATGAAAAGAATGGGGTCAGAAAGGGTTAACCCAAATGCTACATTATGGATGCTGTAATACAAGACACATTGTGTTGCCATAGATCACACAATTCTCAGGTGGAAAAACTGGGATTCAATCCCTGACAGTTTAACATGCTTGAACTTGGGGAACAATAAAGGGCAGCAAGAGCTAGACTTAGTATGTACAAGGTACAAATGTGGAGCATAAAAGAGGAGGTAATTGACCTTACCCAGTGGGAGTGGCAGGGAATTGAGGACAGATTGGGTTGTTGGAAAGCTTCACAGATGAATGACTCATGAGCTGAATTTTGAAGGATGATTCGGTATTCATCAAACGGAATGATGGGGCAAAGTGTTCCGCGCAGAGGCACCAGTGGTAATAAAGAAATGGAGGCTGGATTGGCTGGTGTTGCTGAGCATCTGACCCATAAACCAGGAGGTCAAAATTCAATTGCCAGTCAGGGGATGTGCTGGGGTTGTAGGCTTGATACTAAGTAAGGGGCATGCAGGAATCAGTTATGAATGATTCTCTCTCATCACTGATGTTTTTCCCTCTCCCTTCCTCTCTCTGATATCAATAGACATTTTAATTTTTTTTTTTTTTTAAATAAATGGAGGCTGAAAAAAGTCTGTATACCCGGGGAATAGAGTGAATGACAGGACAATATAGAAAATAAGTCAGGGGCTAGATCACACAGAACCTTATTTGCCTTCCCAAGAAATTTGAGCTGTTTTCTAAACTTTTCCAGTGAAGTAAATGTAATGGCAAAAAAGAAAAGAATATCCCCAGGGAATCTGGTGGCTTTGTCTGAAGCCCTTCAGACTACAGTCATGCGCCACACGGTAAACAACAGACCACATATGGTCCCATACGATTATAATAAGAGCTGAAAAATTCCTTTTACCTAGTGATGGCATAGCCATCAGGTCCTAGTGCAATGCATTACTCATGTGTATGTGTTGATGCTGGTATCCAGTGTTTGTAAAGTCTACAGCAGTGCACAGTAATGTCCTAGGCCTTCACATTCACTCGCCACTCACTGACTCACTCAGCAAATCCAAGTCCTGCAAGCTCCATTCATTGTAAGTGCCCTATACAGGCGATCCATTTTTAATACTATTTTTACTGTGCCTTTCCTATGTTTAGATACAAATGCCTACCATATTGAGGATAGTAACATGCTGTACAGGCATGCAGCCATCCAGGGTGGCAAATCCCTTCCAAACGTTAGCCCCTATGTGTTCAAGGCTGTCAAGCCAGAGTCGTATTAAGCTTCCCCAGCTACAATGAACCCTCAGGACTATTTAAAAAAAAAAAAAAATGGGGGAGGGGGACCAAAGCCACTGGCCCTACTTCTGGCCTGTTGCTAAAATTCAGTAAGTTATCCCCCCAAATCTGAAGCAGAGGGAAGAAAACATACATCCCTCGGTAGTTTCTCTGGACAGTAATCAGGAGTTGACTCAGGGTGGGCGTTTGGAAGGGTTCAGCCTCTGTCCTGCCTGGTGCTGGGATCAGCTCATACGGCTCCTGTGTCCACAGGGCACAGAGGACACATTGTCCATAGGAGGATTATTCTGGACAAGAAGCTCAGACAAAGGGAGAGGTTGTTCCCAGCTGCCTGGGGGAGGTGAGATGGGGGTGGGAAAAGGGACCAGCCTTGCACTAGGGCATTCCTACAGAGTTCAGCTTCCCCCCTTTCCCCCCCCCCCCCCAGCAGCAGGATGGGAGGTGGGCACTACACAACCTCTCCATCTCAGTTCTAATGCCAGGACCCCTTATGGAGTTGGAAGGAGCACTTAGCTACAACCTACCTGTCTTGGCTGTTGCCCAAGAAAGTACAAGGTTAACTAAAGTAAGCTAGCTAGGTAAGACAATAATACACATCAGAAGGGGAAGACAATGGATGACTGGGGCAAAGATCAAAAGGGAGGCCCAACAATGACCCAATCCTAACCTTAGGACAGAGCTGGAGAAGGAGAGGGCCTAGGCAGGTGTCACGCAGACAGTGATTCAGGATGAACTCAGTGCTGAGTACGATTTCGAGATTTCACAGCTGCTGTTTTCTCCATGCTAGATATAAACATGGAAGACGATCTCATTCTCCAGGGGCCCCAAAGAGTAGGAGAAAGCAGAGCAGTCAGAAACTGAGGAATATTACCAGAGTAGGGCAAGAGAGTCATCTTTTGCAAATCCTAAATTTGAGCAAGTCATGTCCTCTTCTTCTTTTCTAAAATATTTTTATTGATTTCAGAGTGTAAGAGAGAGGGAGATAGAATCATCAATGATGAGAGAGAATCATTGATCGGGTACCTCCACCACACCCCCTACTGCGGATCGAGCATCCAACCTAGGCCTGTGTCCTTGACTGGAATCAAACCTGGGACCCTTCAGTCTACAGGCCGATGCTTTACCCACTGACCAAACCAGCTAGAACCATCATGGTCTCTTTTTCAAAGGAAACTCCATTTATATTCTCTCCTCAGGGAATGAGTGTGTTAGGAGTGGGAAATACATACTCTCCACTGAGGAGGTTACTGGATTGTATGGGCCCCATAGTTGGCGATGCTACATAGGTGGTGTGCTCCAGAGGATTTGGGGTGGGAGTGGGCTTGGAAGTGAGAGCGTGTGCTTCCTAAGTTTAGAAGGTGGAGATGTGAATGCCTCCAGAATAAGGAATATTGATTTATGGGCACAAGATACAGGTCAGGTACTGTGTATGTTCCTGTTGGGGCAGGAGAATATTTCCATTCTTGGAGGACAAGGAATCCATTTCAAATAGCACAGGGGGAATAAAGTCAGTATTAACCACAGACAACAAAGAAACGTGGGTTTGGTGCCTTTTTCAGCAGGAAGGAATCTTTTGGTGGAATAAGGAATAGCAGATGCCAAAAGTTTGCTTCAGGGATTCTACAGAAGCGCAGCATAAACCCAACGCAATATGAGAGTTAGCTTCAACTACACCAATAGGAAGGGAAGGGATAAGAAGATAAACAAGATCTGAGCCCTAGCTGGTTTGGCTTAGTGGATAGAGCATCAGCCTGTGGACTGAAGGGTCCTGGGTTCAATTCCAGTTAAGGGCACATGCTGGGTTGTGGGCTTGATCTCCCCCCACCCCGCCCCCGATTGGGGGATGTGCAGTAAGCAGTCTTATCAATAATTCTCTCATCATTGATGTTTCCATCTTTCTCTCCTTCTCCCTTCCTTTCTGAAATTAATAAAAATTTATTTTAAAAAAACACTAGAGCAGTAAGAAAGTACACTAAAGAGGGAGAAAGGTCTGGCTTTGCCTCAGAGCCAATGGTATGACTCCCTGTGCTGCTGTGTGATATGGTCAGTGTAATTGTGGATTCCATTTCTTGTCTTGATGGAACAGGAATATATGTGACATCTGGGACCACTTTTCCAGTCCTCTGCTGCCACAGCCTGGCAGAATTCTGCCTGGCACCAAACAGATGCCAAAGTACTAGGTGCACCGAAAGAGAAGAGAAAAAAGGGAGCTAGAAGGCTGTCCTCATAACTCAGGACTTTCAGATCAAAGCTAGTCAAAGATAAAACTTTTTAGGGAGAACAAATTACAATTACATTGAAGCAATCTTGAAAGACTCTGATGAAGCAACCTTGAAAGTCTCATAAATTGCTGTCAGATATGCCTGACATATGACCATCAAAATTTAAGTAACTTTATTCAGAGAAACCTTTCGATCCACTTCTGCTGACCTCACCCCTCCCTTGCCCAAAATGAGCGAAAAAGGCAACTTAGACTGGAGACTCAAAATCACTTTGCTCTTCAACTTGAAAATGCAGGCAAAGGTACCGGAGGCTACCCATTCCCATGACTGATCTTGAAGCACAGGCTCATGGAGAGCAGAGCAGGCCCAAGCTTTACCAAAGCTTTAGGTGGATCGTTCACCCAGCCCAGAAGCCTCAGTGCCTAGCTTGAAGAGATGGCCAGGATGGAGCCTGGGCAGAGACAGTGTACCTCTAAAAACACAGAGGCTGCCACAGTTTCTAGCAGCACAAAATAAGCAGACTTTCCAACAGAACAGAGTGGCTTATGATCCTGTGTTCATCAGCTCACCACTGACGTGAAGCAGTATCAGATCAGGGTCAGTTCTGGATCAAGGACTGAGGAGGGCAGTAAGGAGAAGTGGCTGTAGAAACCACCATTTATTGAATACCAATTATGTCTTTTACTGTGCTAAGTGTTTTACATTCATTTTCTCATTTAATCCTCACAACAACCTTATGACGTAGAAATTATTGCCATTTACAAATAAGAAAACAGGCTCAGAAAAATTGGGTCACTTGCCCAAAGTCACACAGTTAGTCGGTGGTAAAGCTGGGATTTGTCTGTTGCTGAAAGCCCATGTCCTTTTATTGTACCCAGCTAGGTCAGTTTGGGCAAAAGGCAATTTCACTGCCCAGCTCTACAAAGAGCATCTGGCAGCAGAGGTCGCTGGCCACACTCACCGCTGGTAGGGATGCATTGAAGCTGACTTGATGTTGGTTTTTATTCCACTTGGCATTTTCCCTACAAGGAACATAAAGAAAGACGCCTGATACATAGCAATACTTTTATGATAATTCAGAAATGTGGTCTCTCAAGTTTCCTCCTGCCACCCTCTCTATCATCTCAGAACCCTCTGTAGCATCTGGCCCTGGACGCCAAAGCTCAGAGGCGTGGTTGCATACCAGCTCTCTCCCTGAAGGTATCTAAGAGGGAAGGGCTGTTTGGGGGGAGAGGAGGTAGTGGGAGGGATCTGACTCCTGCTCACCTATTCCTAGAAAAGATAGCTAAGTCTGTGTGACCCCCATCACAGGTAAAAAAATATATATATATTCATTTATTTTAATTGTCCCTTTTCTCAGACAGTGTTGAAGGAAATATCTCTTCTAGTTACTTGCATCTGAACTCCTCCAGACTGTTCTCATCATCACTAAAAGTGAGCAGGAGGGACAGAATGTGGAGAAAAGGATGCATGTAGCACTGGAAACTTGCTGCTTATCAATTCTCAACAACCCACCTACCAAATGGTCTAAATTAAGGTCTGACTTTCGGTTTCTCTAAGAAAAAGCCCCATACATACCTAATATCTAAGAAACAGAAGGGCAGTTGAGACAGAGGTCTGAGATAGGGGTTGGAGGTGAGAGCAGTTTCTGCTATTCAAGGTTATTCTTCATTTTCTAGAGTTTGTTAGCATCACAAATGAGATTTTTACTCTTAAAAATAGTTTTCTGGGTCATAGTCCAGGAGAATGGGAGAAAATCTCCAGGTCTGGGAAGACTGGAGGCTCAGACAATTCAGCTTATTCTCACTTCCCTGCTCAAGGTCTGTCACCATGTCAACCCTTGCCACCTTACCTGGTTGACCTGCTTGGGCCATTTGCACCCCACTGAGAATTGACTGCTGCTGGCTTGGAGCACCTGCCATCTGCACCTGCTGCAATCCTGAGGCTCCTGCAAGGATCGTTCCAGTTCCTGGCTGGCCTGGCTGGCCAGGTCCGCTGCTGCCTGAAGGTCTCCAATTAGACAGCCCTTTTCCAAAGGCGACAGCTGCCACCAAGGCATTGGTGTCTGCAGGGTTAAAGGTCTGCTTGTTTGGCCGGAGACCTGAAGAAAAAGCTGAGTGAGGACCCTGAGGTACACCTCTAACCCTAGACTGAGCCTAGCAGTAGGAAGACCAGTATGAGTACCAGGGCTTAGAGTTCTGACTTTAGCAGCATCTAGACTCCCTAGTAGCCCAGAGGAAGAGCCAAAGAATCTCCACAACTATCTCAGAATTCTCCCTTTTCACTTTGCCCATTTCCTCCATCTGTTTCAGGGCTGGACTTAAACACAAAAAGCTAACAAAATGGATATGTACCCTTTTCTAAGCAGCTCACTCTTTTATGTCCTCACTTCGCTACTAACCACCATTCCTATAAAAGTGATCTTATCCCTCTTTCCGTCTCCATTTTTTTTATTGTTTTTTATTTAAAATATATATATATATTTTATTGATTTTCCACAGAGTGGAAGGGAGAGGGATAGAGAGCTAGAAACGTCAATGAGAGAGAAACATCAACCAGTTGTGCCCGCAACCAATGTATACATGCCCTTGACCGGAATCGAACCTGGGACCCTTCAGTCCGCAGAACAACGCTCTATCCACTGAGCCAAACCAGTTTCAGCCCATCTCCATTTTTTTAAAATTTATTTTTATTTTAAATCCTCACCTGAGGATATTTTTTTTTCCCATTGATTTTTAGAGGGAGAGAAGGGAAGGAGGGGGAGAAAGGAAGAGAAACATCGATGTGAAAGAGACATCAATTGGTTGCCTCCAACATGCACCCGGATAAGGGCTGGTGATGAATCTGAAAATGAGGCACATGCCCTTGATTGGGAGTCAAACCTGCAACCCTTCAGTGACAGGAACTGCTGTGCTAAACACTTAGAACACCAGCCAGGGAACTCTAATACTAATTACTATTGGCTGCGCGCCTTTAAGCAAGTTTCTAACCTTCTATGTATATAAAAGCCTAAGCGGCCATCACAACCGAACAGACAACTGAACAGGATGCATGGGGCGACCAGGCCGGCAGGGGGGTTAGTGAGGGGCGACCAAACGACGAGCAGCAGGCTGTGTGGGGCGACCAGGCCCGAAGGGGGGAGGTTGGGGGCACCAGACTGGCAGAGGAGAGGGCAGTGAGGGGAGACCAGGCCAGCAGGGGGGACAGTTGGGGATGACCAGGCTAGCAGGGGTGGAGGGCAGTTAGGGGTAATCAGGTAGGCAGGCAGGTGAGCAGTTAGAAGCTATTGGTCCTGGACTGTGACAGGGATCGGGCCTAAACCGGCAGTCAGACATCCTCTGAGGGGTCCCAGATTGGAGAGGGTGCAGGTTGGGCTGAGGGGGACAAAAACCCCCTCCAGTGCACAAATTTTGTGCACCAGGACTCTAGTTTTATATAAAAGAGAAAAGAGTATCTGACTTATGGAGTTAGGATTAAACTCAAGACTTTCCTTCTCTATTTTGCCACCGATCGCTCCATACCTCCACTCTCTGATTCTCGTTCCTCTTTGCTGATTTTCTCCAAAAGGTTTGAGCACATTTTATTTAAGCTCTGGATCTGCTTCTGTAACACACAAATTGGTAGAGATTAGGGCAAGCAAGAAATGATTTAGGGAAAGTTGCTTTCTTGTGCTCTTCTAGGGGCCATTTATATGCAATCAACTATGCAACCTATAAAACAGCAATGGTAAAGCCTAGCTTCTCATGTGGGACTTGGGGGATGGGGGGCAGCAGGGCAGTGAATCAGTCCAACCTGAGCTACATCAGCACCGATGCGGGCTGCGTCTGTTGTCAGCTGCTTCTCTTGCTCTTCAACCTCAGGGTCAGGCTTAGTTCTCAGATGGTCAGGGACTACCTCATGGCTGAAAACAGGTACTCGTCCTTCAGTCTGCCGCTGTAAACACAGATTTTATTAATCATCCTAGGCATTCCCAGATGATTCCATCTGGACCGATATATAGTTCCTGTCACAGGCAAACAGTGCATTTTTAGGGAAAACACAGCCCAAGACATATGATACTTAGCTTCCTACGACACTATACTCCTCACTCCATCATTCATTTCTGTCTCCTCGCACTCCCATCTGTACTAGACACAGGGGCAAACCTCTCTGCTACATTTTAATCAAAGGCTAAAATATACAAAGTCACAAAAGAACATGCATTTCGCTTGAGATAGGTGAGATGAGAAAGGCCTTTGCCTTGGGAGCAAGGTCCTCAGGTTTATTTGGGAGTAGCTCCCCAACTCCAGGACGAAAAGCAAGGCCTCCAAAATGCAGCCTCCCTTTTTATTGCCATATACTGCTCCACATTCAGAACTTCTACAATAACCAGCCAACAACTGTGCTCTAGGTCCTTATCGAAGAACTTGATTTCCCAAGTTGTACCCTTCTCCTCCTCTTACCATGAGATCTTCATCACGGTCTGGGGACAACACCAGAGGGATGATGACCTGGTTACGGAACAGTGGTGTCTTTTCATGCTTCAAGACCTTGTTCAGAGTGTTCAACTGTCCAGAGAGCAAGGCAAAGCTGTCCAGGACAGAGGGCCTGGTGGTAGTAAGAAGGTGTCAGCATATTTCCACTGAAGTAGCCTCAAAGGGATCCTTCAGATTAGGAATACCCAGACCCGCCCCCAAAAGACTCATCATAGCCCTAGAGCTGGACTGGGTGGGAACCAGAGTGTCTTATAGGGATTGTGGGGTTAGAAAAGAGGGACACACGTTCAGTTTCTGGCAAGGATGGAGAAAAAAGACAGTTCATTACTTGGATGGGGTGAAGAACAGAAAATAGGAACCATGCCTACACTGTTATCACTAAAAGTTCAGAAACGGAGTAAAAGCCTCTTTTCTGGCCTGGAAATAGGAACTATATTTCCAGAGTAGGTTGGACTTAAAAGACTCGCCCATATCTATGGCAAGAAATCCAGGAAGACCTTTGTGTTTCTACTGTAGTGGGAGGATTTATTTTCAAAGAAGTCAAAGGGTGAGGATCAAAAGCTAGAAAGAACCTGGGTTGGGAAACTGGGCATTTCTCTACTTCCTTGCCATGGAGGCCCTAAATTATACTTCACTTGCTAAGTATTGGGAAACCTAGCTCTTACCAAATCATAAGATGTTTTCAAACTGATAAATGGCTCTATCACTAGAGGTGTCCTATTCACCAGGAGGCTTGCCCCCCACCCCCACCCATGCAGCCCTCCCCAGATTACCCTGACCACCCTTACCAGGTCAACCGGTCATACTCGTTCTCCAGTTTGTAAATGAAACTCCCCAGTGAGTTCTTCAGATCAGCCACTTGACTCAGCAGTGCATCTAATGATGCTTCGAGCTGCTTCTCCTCCCTCTGCACCAACAGGGACAGGCTGGTTACCCAGATGAGTGTGAGTATGACACATACAAAGGCAGGCTGAAGAGCCAGGACGGCAGTATGCAACACTATTAAGTAACACAGGATCTCATTGGCACAGGAGAGCCGGACTGTTTTCTATCTTTGGTATTTGGGTTACAGAGAGCATCAACCCTTAGACCTTTCAACTCATTCACCTGAACGTGATTCTTCCTACCAAGTGATTCCTTTCTCCATCCTTTCCTAATTCATGCCTGGTTTTTCTCTCTACTAGGTATACTCTATTGTCTCACTGAGAAATTTTCTTGAGACCTAGTGTCTGGGTTTATTCATTTTGTGTACCTCTGCAGTACAACTCTGTTCTAGAGCTCACCTTGTGAGCCAGGCTGTTCTTGTCAATGGCACACAATCTCTGAGAAATCTACCTGTACGTGAAGGTTTCTCTGACCTCTGACTGGCCGTGTACCACCGCCGCACCCCTTGCCCCAATGCTTCATTTGCCTTCAGCATTTGATGTTTCAACCTTCTCCTTGCTGAATTAATCTGCACTCATTTTACCTCTGTGCCAACATTCCTGTGCTCCTTTCACAGGCTTATAAACCTTTACTGACAAGACTACCGGTGCAAGAAACTATGATAAACCAAACTACATAATGAATGGGGAAGGCCTGGGGTGGGGGTTGAGGGGACAAAAAGGAAGAAAATGGGAGACATCTGTAATACTGTCAGCAATACAATAAAAATAAAATTAAAAAATGCAAATGTCGCCCTAGCTGGTTTGGTTCAGTGGAGAGAGCATCAGCCTGGGGATGGAAGGGTCTTGGGTTCAATTCCAGTCAAGGGCACATCGGGGGAGGAGGCCTTGATCCCCAGTAGGGGGCATGCAGGAGGCAGATTAATGATTCTCGTCATTGATGTTTCTATCTCTGTCTCCCTCTCCCTTCCTCTCTGAAATCAATAAAAAATATTTTTTAAAAGGCACATGTCCTAAGCACCAGCCAAAAAACACACACAAAAAACTGTACATGCTGGAGGGTCTGCAAAATAATGTTTCTCTATCTACAGCCTCCAGTTTTATTTTGGGCACAGATTGGGAAATGGTCTTGCAAACTCGCCAATGTGCAGGACAGGGGCCACCTAGGGCCTCAGGTTATAATGAGTTTAGCTTCTAGCCACAGGGGCTCCACCATTTCTTCATCCCTCGGGCTTCTCTCCAATGACAGATTCCCTGTTATTTCGGCATCCAACAGCGTCCAGCCAACAGCCGGCCAACCCAGCACTTTCTTGAGTCATCTTCCTTAGCTCAACCTTCCCAAATTACAACCTGATCCTTTCCCATAACCTAGCAAATCAGTGCTGCTTCCTCCCTCCCGATAGAGCCGTAGTTTGCCTCCGGTCGGCGGGGCTCCCGACCCATCTCTCCGCCTCTCCTCCAGAGTAGGCCTCGCCCCCCAAGCCCACGTCCCCTTAAGTGTCAGCCTCAGGCTCTGCCCCTACTCTCAGCTTCAACTCTTCACTCTCTCCTCGGTCAGCCTACTCTCGGTCCGGTCAACCGAAGCTAGGAGGCCTTATCGATAGCCCCTACCTGACAGATACTCACCTGCATAGCGGCGGCTGTGTCTGGGGCAACGACCTCCTTTTCCGGTTTCCAGTCAACGAGTCACGCTGAGAGGGTTTCTCCCACCAATCAGAGAGCTCATACGTTGTCCCGCCCACTCACTTCCGGTTCCTGCCAGGTGCGCGGTGGCTGGGTCAGGGGTCCCTGGCCCGGGCCGGCGCGGGAGCGCTGTGATGGCCTCGGAACGCCCGGAGCCGGAGGTGAGGGGCGGGCGGGCGGGCGCAGCTCTGGTGCCCGAGACCCCAGGGTCCGGCGGCCTGGGACGGCCGTGGCCTCCTCCGGGTCTGGGGGCGACCGGGCTAGCCCCGAAGGCATGTCAACGGAGCCTCCTCCCCGGGGTCCGCGATTTCCTCCTGGGGAAACTCGCCGCTTTGTTTTGTTTCCTGAAATTTCATCCACGCCGCCGACTCTACGGCTCTTGGGTTCTTTGACCGAATAATAGTGCTAAACCCTTTATTTTGATTTTCTGCTGCGGTTTCAGGGGGCAACAGGGCGATAAGCTTTGCCGATTTCTGCAAACATTGGAATCCCATAAACGGCATGAAAGAACACATTTCTAGCGTTCGTGCTTAGGGAAAGCAGTTTTGGTTTCGTGAAAATATCTTTGTCTCGGAGGGAAACCTCGTTCCAATATTGTAATAACTTGGGGCAAGATTTTTACATCCCAGATGTTGTTTCCTTCATAAAATACCTATCTTAGGGTGTTGTGAGGATCACATGTTTTAAACCAGAAAATGCATTTGAGGTGTCAATTAGATAGTAAGGACCACGAAAGGAACTTCAGGTATCTTGTGTTATCCAAACTTGTGCAAAGAAGGTGTCAATACTCATTCTCGTTCACAGATAAGGAAATGGAAAAGTGAGGGAGGTTAAGCATCTGACTCAGGTGCTACTCAGCTGGCGGGTAGCAGAATTCTGGAGTTAGAAGCTCCGAGCATAAAATTGCTCAGACTTGGAAGGCACATCACTAGGAGAGGTGTCCAGTATTACAAGAGAATATGAGTAGATGGGAAGGGTGAGGGGTGTGTAGGATGACACACGTAATAGTCATTACTAAATGATTACTGCATACCAGGCATCATCCTAAGCACTTTTCCAATACCAATTATTGCTCTCAACCCTATGAAGTAAACACTATTATCACCCCCATTTTTCAGTTGTGGAAACAGGCACAGAGATACTCAGAGAAACAAAGTGGCACAGCCAGTAAGTAGTAGAGCCAGGACTCCAAAAACAGGTGGCCTGGCTCCAGATCTTATGTTCTTAACCATAATGTTTAGTAATAATAAATATCCTATATAATAAAAGGCTGATATGCACTACCGGGAGTTTGACCAGGGGGCAGAGCCAGCCCACCAACCGCCCATGGCCCCTCTCCCCCGAGTGCAAATTGATGCAGCGGGTCTCTAGTTCATAAATAATAAAGTAGCCATGAAATGGCAAATCACCAGTTCACTGGGATTTGATGTGATGAGACTCAGGATTAAGTAGGAAATTATGCCTTATTTAAAATAATCAGACATATTCACAGGAATAACCCATTTATCAGAAATACCAGTATTGAGAAAAACAAAAAATTTGTAGTCTATTTTGTTATGGATTAAAATTAAATAAAATGGGGAAATACAACATACTTTCTAGGCCTAATGCAAATCATATATGTAAATTTTCTAGTAGCCACATTTATTTATTTTTTTTTTCTTCTAGTAGCCACATTTAAAAAGGTAAAAAGAATCGGAGAAAAATTAGTTATATATTATTTAATCCTGTATTTCCAAAATATCACTTTAACTTATAATAAATAGTTTTAAGTTCTGAGATATTAACATTCTCTTTTTTGTACCAGATCTTTAAAGTCTTATGTGTGTTTTACACTTCAGCACATATCATTTTATACTACCAGTAACACTTCAAGTGCTTAGTAGCCCCATGTAGTAGTACCTACCATATTGAACAGTGCAGATCTAAAGTCACAGTCAAAACTCACTCCTGGGAGTCTCATTCAGCCAAAAAGTAAGCATTTGTTAAGTTCTTGATTTGCATTTCTGAAAATGTTATCTCAAGAAGTAAAGATAGTAAAGAGTTGTTCTGCCGGTGGGCGGAAGTGACTGCCCTTTAGGCTTGATTTGGGCCTAGTCAGATTTAAGAAATCATTCGTTCATCAAATACTTGAAATATTTTGAGTGCTGTTATGGATCCCAGGATTGTGTTAATTATTAGGGTGGATATGGGGCAGTGTAAGACATGTTTCCTATTTTAATGGAGTAAGCAAACATTGAATTATGATAATAAGTGCTGCAAAGGAAAAATATAGAGTTGAATGAGTATTTAACAGCAGTTCTTAACCTACTTTGTTAAGAAATGGTAGGAGCAGCTGGGACCGGTTTGGCTCAATGGATAGAGCATCGGCTTGGGGACTGAAGGGTCCCGGGTTCGATTCCGGTCAAGGGCATGTACCTTGGTTGTGGGCATATCCCCAGTAGGGGGCGTGCAAGAGGCAGCTGATCGATGACTCTCTCATCGATGTTTCTGACTCTCTATCTCTCTTCCTTCCTCTCTGTACAAAACCAATAAAATATATTTTTTTAAAAAAAGAAAGAAAGAAAGAAATGGTAGGAGCAGAGGTAGATCAGGAAGTTGCTTCAGAGGAATAACATTTAAGCCCTAAGCATGAGAGACTGAAGGAATAGTGAGAACCCTGAAGTGAGAAGGAGCTTGGAGCCTTTGGATAGCTGAGAGGAAGCAGCTACTAGTGGCTACAGTGTGACAATGGGAATAGCTAACACAGAGTGCTTGCTGAGGGTCATCTAATACTTCTAACTCCCCCTCATGAAATAGATACTTTTGTTAGCCCCCTTTCACAGATAAGGAAACTGAGGCACAGAAAGTTTAAGTAACTTCACCAAGACCTTACACTGATAAGCAGCAGAACAAGCATTTGATCCTAGGGACTCTTAACTCAGCGGGAGATTGGTGAGAGAAGAGGCTGGAAGAAAATTCAGGTTGAGATCATACTAGAGTTTCAGGACTATGTCATATGTATAGTGGTGGTAAGGAGGCTTCAGACAGTTCGGGGGGGGGGGGGGGAGGATAGGGGAGGGAGAGTACATTTTTCATGGGACTCAACTGAAAACAGCACAAAGCTTGGATTACATCTTAACTACAAAGACACTGGTGCAAAAAACAAGTTAATGAGATGGGAATGTTTCTTTTATACTGATATACATGATACGCAGTGCAGTATTTTATTCATCTTGTTATAAATGGTATGTAGGCCTCAATAATTGTTCCAAAGAATGATAGGCTTCCTCTATCATTGTTCTGACTCTCCTGTCTAATTGTAACAATATCTTTATGAAATAGATATTCTTATTTACGTGGTATCAATGAAGAAACTAAGGCCTGGAAAAAATTAATTAACTTTTCCAAGCTTGCCTAGATAGTAAGTAGTAGAATCAGATTTGACTTCAGATCTCTTGACTCCAAAACGCTGCTTTCTCTTTGCCAGAGTCCTCTAAGAATAATGCATATAATTTTGTGAGAATAGAGAATGCCAGTTTTTGCTTTCCATTGTATACTTAGGACCTAGTGCTGGTATGTGGCAGGCTTTTCATAAATTTGTTGGCTGATAAATGAATGCATGCTCACCTTGCCTTTGTCCTCTTTGGACTTGGATGAGGACGATGCCTTCTTGATCTAATTAGGTAAATTAAGCTGTAAAGAGACTTATTAGAAGAAAAAGGAGCCCTCTCTTAGCTTCACATTAGAATAATAGACTGAATTTACCCAATATAATAGGACTAATTGAATAATTGTATGTGTCCCAAAAAGCCAGATATATGAGGACAGATTGGGGGGCGGGGGGATTTAGCAGCACAAGTGAGAAAGTCATAGAGGTTTCCTAAGTATGGTATGATAAAGCTTTTAAAAATATAAATAGAATCTAGGGGACTCTGAATATGTGACCTCACCTGGGTATTGTGTTCCATATCAGTCCCCACATTTTAGGTTGAGAAGTAGATCAATCAGAGTTCATTCATAGGCATATTATATAAAATAAATTAATAAGGAAATTTGAAGTCATGCCATATAAGACTTAAAGAACCTGGAGATATTTATTACAGAAAAGCAAAGACTCCAGACTGTCATCAGATGTTTGATAGACTCAGAAGCAACTGATTGTTGACTGACTTGTCACTATACTGATGTGTGTATTTATACTTCCATATACCTTTGGGGTAGCTGGTGGTATTTTATACAGGAGGACTAAAGCTCAGGCCCATAGTCTCAGCTATCAAATCACACTTTCTTTCAAAACACATCTATTAGAATGCACATCAGAACCTTCTCCCCAGATTCCAAGAAGAGCAAAAAAGAATATAATACTAAAAAAGAACAGACTAGTAAAAAACTGGTTTAAAAACAAACCAACAAAAATACCACAGCTTTCACGAAAGCAAAGGAAAATCCCAAACAATAGAGTAGTTAGTTTTTCCATCAAGTGGGTGATGAGGAAGGATGGAAACTCTTGAACAACAAAGAGCAGATGTCAATAAAGGTGGAAAATTAAGAATAACTGGTAAATCGATAGTGAGAGCAATTTCTCTTTCATGCATTTATTCAACAAATATTTAAATACCTAGCGTGCTTTGGTGCTGTGCTAGTTTCTAAGGATACAGCAAAGAACATTATGTAGACAAAGCCTCTGGGGCTTCTAGACCTGTAGGAGAAACAAACATTAAAAAGTACATAAAGCCCTGGCCAGCCTGGCTCAGCTGGTTGAGTGTCCGCCCATGTACCCAGAGGTTGTCTATTCCGTTTCTGGTCAGGGCACATGCCCAGGTTGCTAGGTCAATCTCCTGTAGGGGGTGCGTAGGAAGCAGCCAAAGGATGTTTTCTTCTCTCCCTCTCCCTTCCTCTCTCTAAAAAAATCAATTAAAAATATTTTTAAAAGTGCATGAACAGTTTGCTTAGCACCTTTCCCTCCCCCCCCCCACCCTCCAGGCATGTTACCTTTG